CTAAGATTCCTTAGGAAAGTTGACAGGAGGCTTACAGCCAATCAGTGAAAAAGAAAATGCCAGGACACAGCCTGCAGCATATTGACTGGAAAAATTAAGCTCTAAGAAAAGTTGGTCAGGGATTATTTAAAATAAGTACAAATTTCGTGTTGTGACATGAGATTCAGTGTTTGCATAACATCAAATTATTGTGTCCTTTTTAACCCTTCCAGCCCAAACGGAGCGCCAGTGTCCTCCAGCCAAATTTGCAGTACCGTAATTCCGCCACACGTTGCACTATCTGAAAAATAGAAACGGTTTCTGAAAGGGGAGATGTTGCACTTTCCAGCCAATATCGGGTTTTTACGGTAATTTCACCCCCGTCGTACCAGGGAGTGAAATTAATCTGAGGGGTCCTCTTTTAAAAGACGGTTAATTGCAAAAATCAGTTGCTAGATATTAAAAGTTCCAGTTGTTATGGATAAATTGGTGGATACATATTTACTCACAGGACATTTAAAGAACTACATACAATTAAAATAAGCAAAAATATCCAGACGGAGCTTTGAATCTTAGGTGTAAAGTGTTAAAGAGGAACGTAATTAGTGGTTTTATAATAAACTGATTCAACAATTATTCTGTTAACCATTTTCTAAACAAAAATTTATAATATTGTGACATAACCACTTCTGATTTTGTCTAAGCAGCTTTTTCCTCAATCAGCTGCAGGAGTTTAAAGTGAGAAAACTGAGTCGTTCACTTCTCCACAACATAATACTCTGTACTCTGACTTTTCTCCTTCCAAATGGTTTTATCAAATTAACAAGGATTTTTTTTAAAATTAAAACTGCATTTGAAATGTTTGCAAAAAGTGAGTGAACGTTTTCATCGGCATACGGCTTAAAAGACTGGAACGATGCAGGCTTTGGCCTGGTAAATGCAAGGTCAGTGCAGAGGTACAGAAAATGTAGAAACAGACAAAGAAAAAGTAGAAATCTGCCAAGTGCAGATGGATAGATGTCTTCTCCTGGGACAGCCTGTTTTCTTTATGGTCTTTATAATTTCGGCATAATGCCGTCTTCTTGGCAGAATGTCTAAGAGGATGAAAGACCTTCTGAACTCACTACTGTATCTCTTTGACCTCCTCCTACTCACATCCACATGTTTTTCACCAAAGCAAAGACTTTTACAGCAATTCATCGAGGAATATGCACATGCGAATCAGTTTCTTTAATTTAAAGCCATATTGTGCTTATCTGTAAAAAAAAACAAAAAAAAAACCTGATCTTGTGCAACTTAGTTTGACAAAGGGATGGAACTGGTATGAAAAGTTTAGCTTTAATAATGTATGTTTATAAAAAAAATTATATATGACCAGAGCACTGTTTGGTTTTCCAGAATAAAACGAACAAAGCGGTGCTTCAAGCAGCATTAAAGATAATTTTCTGTGAATTATAAGCAGCACCGTTTGTTTAATCTGGATCTTTTACTTGCAGATGTGCGCTTAAGTGAGCTTACTATGTGTGCTGTGTCCCCTATACAGAACGTTTGAGCTGTTGAACATTTTAAAAAGGATTTCATGAAATGGACCAACACAAAGTTGTGCATAAATGCCGTAACATATACGAAGAAAAGATTTTCATTTCCCTGTACATTGAAATCTGGAAAGTCTAATAAGTTTGCCTTTGTATTTAGCCAACTTGGTAGAAGCACCTTTTAAATTGTAATTGGATTTTGGGGTATTCTTTACCAACTCTATATCTGAGCTGAGACGTTTTTATATTCTTTGTGAAATAGCGTAAGCTCAGTCAGTCAGATTGGATCAGAAGTAGCTGAACCATTTTTTATGCTTTTTCCACATAAGTTCAGGATCTCTGCAGCTCCTCCAAAGTCACCAAAGCGCTCATGGATGCTTTTAGGTAGATGGTCGCGTCTCTCTTTGCAGATGTGTCCTAATCCTCATGTGATGAACTGGACGATGGACCCGGATGATGTTTGTATTTGGATGTCGGTTTGAGCGTTTTACTGCGAGATGTTTAAAGTTTCAACATTGAATTATAACCAGGTTGTTCACAGCTTTCTCCTTACGCTGTGTCGTTTGTCCCTTTGTCTTCATGATGCTGTTTGTTCACTAATGTTCTCTAACAAACCTGGGTTTATATTAAGGCGATATCACACACAGGTTGACTTCTGAAGGCAACTGGATTTTATTTAGGAGTATCAGAGGAAAGAGGGTGAAAGTAAGAAAACATTTAAAAAGAAATCCTAAGCATCGTGCATCGTTTTATCTCTACTTGACATTGAAGTCTGCGGTTGTGAAAAGCACAATCAGTGCTCCAAGGATGAATATAAAAATTAGCGAGAGATTCTGAGTTTTATATTTTGAAAAAAATGTAATTGGGAGATTACTAAATGTTGTGATGATAATATTGAGGTTTCCCCAATTCTTTATTTTTCCATCATTGCTGTGTTTCCATATGCTTTAGCATCTCATTTAATAAAATCCATAATAAATGAGGTAGTTGAACCTCTGGGCCGTATGCATTACTAGTTTGTAATGTGTCAATAAATGGCATCAAAGACCCAACAACATATTGCATCAAAGCAACAGCAATTGTGCACATACAGATATTATGACGATAAATATGATTCAAAATATAACTTTTCAATTAGAATGAATTAATTTCTGTTCAAGGTGGTAAATCCCACTGGTGACATTTGAGGAAAAGTTGAACCAACTCAGCTTGTTTGCAACAGTTAGCAACCCAAATAAATAGATCCAGATTTTGAGTTTGTTGTTTGTAACATACAATCTGGGATAAAGACTGAAAGTTGCATTTTTTTTTTTTTTTTAAATCATAAGCACCAAACTGAAGTCACTGAAGGAAGAATAGGAAGTGAACAGCTCTAGTAAGAGACAGACACTCCTGTCAGAATGGTAAAGTCTGGTTTGGACAATTTGGTTCAAGCTCAGAAGCGACGGGCAGACTGGCAGCACACGCTGTAACAAGATGGCGGCAGTCTGCTGCAGAGAATATAGTACTCTCTGTCCTGGGAGAGCTGAGACAGAAAATAAAAAAAAAAAACCAAAACGATCTAGACGGGGCAGCAAAGTGCCAACTGTTACAGTGATTTGGACCAGAGCAGCCAGATCGAGTCCTGAACCCCTTGAAGCAGCGATAGGTGAACCGGGTGCGAGAACAATGGAATGGCTGCCTCCCAGACAGAGCTGCCGTACTGCAGCGATAAGGGAGCAGGAACGAGGGAGGGGGGCGTGCAGGAGGTAGACACACCTGCTTCTGCCGCTGGAGCAACAGCAGCAACAAGCAAAAGTCTGGAAATGAAGCAGCTCAATCCAGACATGAGCCCAGCTTTTGTACGGCGGGCAGAGGGCATCTCAGGACGGCAAGAGCAGCGCTGAGGTCAAAACCCGGCAAGCAGCAAGAGAGGGAGGACAAAAAGCTGACATGAACCACCTAAACAGGTGCATGCTCACACATGCTCTTAGAGGTCAGAGCTAAAATGATCCAACTTAAAACAATAGATGCTTTTTTTTAATTCATAGTTTTACCACAAATAAAGGAATAAAACATGATTCGCCTCCAAAAGGTATTATTTTCCATCATGCTTATTTGATAATAAAATTTTAATAAAACTCAGAAAGTCTATTTTATAGAAAAAGAAAATTGATGACAGCCTGGAGAAAGCAGGTAGGAACCAGTTAAATAAGAGGAACATATACGCTGCAGGCTCATAATAAGATTACATAACGCAGTCTAATTTTCTTTTATCGCCAAAATAGAATAATAAGCTTGTGTTCTGTCAGTCAGAGGCTTCAAGGTTTGTTTTCTTTCCAATGAACTCCCCAACCTCCTTTATCTTTCACCTGACAGTATCTGATGATTTTTCCCCCCGATGGTTACAATATTTACAGCTCAGAGATCCACAAAGTTTCAACTGAGGTGAAAGATATTTGTTATATGACAAACGCAGACATGTTTCAGTTCAGACTTACTTATCGGTGTATTTTTCCTTAAAAATATGATGTCATAAACTCAATGTCAAAGGTTATACTAAGCTTGTAAATTTGGGAGCAGCTTCAGTTTGACATGAAACTGAAATCTATACACTTCAAAGTTTTGTACTTTGAAAAACTTGAATCTTTCACATGTTGTCACACCGCAACAGTAAACATAAATTGGAAGGGACCTGATTTATTATTTTGGAAAATTTTGCAAAGAAAATCTGAAAAGTGTGGCATGCTTTTTTCCCCCGCTCTTTTTTACTTGGTGCCTCTAAATAAAATTCTGTGCAGTCAAATTTAATTTCAGAAGGTGATGATTACAGGACAGAGTGTAATGGGTGTAACTGAATCCCAGTATGAATACGCTGCTCTGTGAAGGCCTCAGATTTGCAGACAGGTCAGGGAGAAAGTTGTGACGAAACTTAAAGCGGGGAATCGTCATTAAATCATACATTCTGAAAACCTCACAGAGCACTGACCAATCCATTTTCTGAAAATAGAAAGAGCATTTTGAGCATTTCATGGCCTTTATGAAAGACTTACTGAAAAAAAAGGCAAACAAAATCCCATTTGCAGTTTGCAACAAGTCCTGTATTTAAAAACAAAACAGCAAACAAGTAAAAGAAGCAGCTTTAGCCAGATGAGAGCAAAATGGCACTGATTGGCCAAACCGCAAAATATACGTGGCAGAAAATTAACACTGCACCATAAAACATGCTGATGGCAGCATCATGCTGTGGTGACACTTTCTTCAGCAGGGACAGAGAAGGTGGTCAGAGTTAAAACGAAGATTGATGGGGCTGCAAAAAAAATCTGGACCTGAGGCTGCAGCTCAACTTTCAGGAGAACAACCCATAAACATTTTGCCAACAAGAATGGGCAACTATTATAGTTTCTACCTGTGGAAATGTAGAAGAGACATACTCCAAAAAAATCATGCAGCAGAATTTAGTGCATGCCACACTTTTCAGATTTTTATTCATAAAAACAAAAACACACAAACTTTCCTACTGTTTCACAATTATGCACTAACCATGTTGCTTTAGGGTTAATAATGTGGCAAGCGGCTGTAAATTTCAAACCCAAACTGTATATTTACCCCCGAAACCGAGCAACTCTCTAACATACCACTTTATTCGTAGAACTAAACAAAGCAAAAACATGACACGTTAATTGTAAACATCAACATGTTTTATGTGTCTGTAGTTAGAAAAAGCCTTAAAAAAGAAAAGTATAGTAACTGCTCAGCGTTTTGTCTCCATTTTGTAACTCCAATAATGTCTGCTTAGTTGCAGTGTAGCTACTAAATGATAAACATGAAAGCTAATAAAAATGTTTCATATTTCAAGCTGCATGTTTGTGTGGATAAAAAAAAAATAGTGACCCCTTGACCCACTGCAGGGGAAGTTTAATACTTTACATCCACTAATAAAATAAATATCAAGTTCACAAAACCACACAAAATGTCATGTTAAAGAATAAATCTTATTAAGCACATGCAGGATTTCAAGTTTAAATTTTAGACTTTGTAAATTACACAAGAGCATTTTATATTAGCCAACACAGATTTCACATCCAACCTAAATTGTGCACAATATATGGGGATTCTGGCAACAAAATATCATTACAATAATTGTTGGCAATAACATCCCAAAGTAAATTCACATTTGGCAAGTTAATACATTTAGGCTGTGAGATGGAGTAGATGTGGACATCTGACACTAAATGACAAAGCTTTATAGTATTACAGGAATTTATTACACATAATATTGTCATAGCAACATTTAATGATAATATGGTTATGGTATAGTTTCCTAATATTACACCTAGTAAATACCTGACAACATAAATTAATCAAATCCTTTTTCATCTATGCACAGAGAGCTGCAGATTTGAAAGCTCATTCAGTTTCTTTGCTAATCAGTATTCTTTAAGGATGACACAATGCACCAAAAACGATAACTTCTTCCGTCTTATGAGAGCAAAAACCTCTTCAAAGGGAGGTTGAAAATAGCGCCTGAGCTCAAACTGATCCATCCTTGAACCACAGCCCATCTGAACTAATGAAAGAATGAGGACAAAACATCAAACAGCGTCTGCGTTCAAATGCTGCTGAAGTTTCATTAGACACCAAGAGCTGCTTGAGACGAGATTAAAAAAAAATACAGGTGATATAGCACTGCATGCTGTAGAAGAGGCTGCAGGGTGGAGGGATGAGGGGTTTGCTGGTGAAGGTTACTGTGATCGCAGGCCATCTATACTTCATTAGTCTCTATGCACATACCAGTAAAGGTATGGAGAAACTTTGACTATGACGATGCAAAAGTCTGGCACTCAGCAGATGAAGACCTCAGCTGACCTCACTTGCAGCGTTGTGCGGCATGTGAAGCCTTGACTGGTGCTCTGCTAATTCTATTCTCCAAGCAGCCGCATTAAAAACACTCTGAATGTAATCTTTCACCTGAGTACATTCGTATCGTTGTTAATGAAGAAGCCATCGTGCTGCATTGAAGTATAAGTATCTATTTAGGTCTGAATGAGTTTCTCTTTTCAATGTCTGACATTCGCATGCATTAACAAAGCCGGCCTCATTGGTTGGATACGGAAAAAGATGATATTCATGAGGTCAAACACAAGTGTACTGAGCTTTCAGTGTCACGCTCTCACCAGTACTTTGTGCTGCTCTCAAGATAAGACATTTTGATTTCGAGTCTGTGGACAGCTGGGAACAGGAGGTGCTTTTCCTTTATAAGGGTTTTACACAGTAGTTGTTGCAGCATATCAAAAGTCCGGTGTCTTCTGCAACCGAAGTGAGGTTCTGCTGTATTCTGTCTGCAGAGATGTCTGTGCAAAATTGCACACTGTGGGTGTAGCCCAAGTCTCAGATTCCTCATTCATTCACTGTACCTCCCCCATAAAACAATGCTGCTGAAAATCTGACAGTGCATCGCCATGTCACCCCACCTTGTCTGGTCATCCCTCCTCCTCCGGTCACATGTCTCTCATAGCCACATTCCTCTAGCCATCTTTCCTCTCATCCCCACCCCTACGGTCCACAAGCTGTGCCTGCCTCTGGGTCTAAACTCTTCCATTTCCTGAAAGAAACCCAATGTTCCTCTTTTTCGTTATCTCTATTTGCATTCATTCTGGATTGAATGTGCCGCTGGATAAAATAATAAAATAATAATAATAATAATAATAATAATAAAAATATGCAGCCGTTTGGTCTTTGCTGTGGTTTCTGTCCTTCCGCCATGTTAAGCGTGGTTTTGGCGTTTTGTCTTACAGAGATGTGTGAGTGCCCCTCGCAGCTCCCAAGAACCCAACCCGTGCACATCACAGCAAAACGTCACAAGTTAGGGTCTCAGGGAATGAGAAAGGTACAGATCACTCCTTGTCCGGCCTTTTTCTGTGCAGACGCTTCAGCTCGGGCTAAAGCAGCTTCCGCTCTCTGTGGCTTTGTGCTGTACTGTAACTGATGTCACAACTTAGTCACCATCGTCAGGCTCGTTTCTCGCAATGGATTAACCTTAAACTCCGGTGACATTTTTTTGGCCTATTTATATCCTGGATATGCATCAAATATGACACCTATTGAAGGTCAAAAAAATGATACAATCTGATCTTCTAATGTACATTTGGGAGTGTTTATGCTCGGCAAGTCATCAGCGACTGACCATACACACCCAGACAGAGACCTCTTTACTCTCACATGTTGCTCATGAATCAGACTCAGCATATTTGGCTCGCCTGTTACCGCCACAGCCTGACTCGGCTAGACCTGCATCAAACGAAATTGATTTTTCATTTGAAAAGCCGTAATCTAGCAGAGCAGGCAGATAAAAGAAAAAAAAATAAAAAAATAAAAAAGGAGAACAACAGATTTCATACGTGGGCTGCAGGGTCTTATACTTTCTACCACAACGACATCTCCAAGCACAGCGGGACTGTCAGACCTGCAAACCGGCACTAGTCGATTACTTTATGGGAAGAAACTCGTTTGCGTGGCAGAGAGAATAAAATCCGACCTGCACGCGAGATGGAAAAGGAGAAGGAATAGGAGGCTGGGAGGAGTGGTGAGATGAGACGCAAGGAAGGAGAAAAAGCAAGAGGGGAAACTCACCCCGTTGGCCAAGGCGGCTTACGCTGCCGCAGTCCTCAGCGTGTGTGTGTCTCTGCAGGTCATCTTAGCAGAGGGAGAGGAGATGTGGCCAGACGAAATGTAAAAAGAGCGAAATCTGCAAGGGAAAAGAAAAGGGAGAGAGAGAGGGAGAGAGAGAGAGAATGCTGCAGAGAAAAGTAGAGGAAGATTTTAGTGCCGCCTTCGCTGGCTTTGTTCAATGGATCGCTCGAAGTAGTGCACGAGGCTTCTCGAGCAGATTGCTGCCGTCTAGCCGTCTGGTGCTCAGACATGCGAGACTGTACCATGTGCAGCCGGAGAGAAACAGAAGGAGAGGCAGGGAAACACAGAGAGAGATGCAGGGGGAAGCAGGTGCAGTGTTAAAGGGGAGAAGGACAGACAAGTTTAGATAGGAGGGTAGTGAGGACTGCGGTCGACGACAAAGTCAGAAAGAGTTAACGTGTAAATCTACCTTTAAAGATTTTCTCAAAAAAATAAAGAGATTAGAGAAAGAATGAATGTGGCGTGGCACAAGAATGGTACGCACAAGGAAGAAACGAGCAGATCAATTGGCCTGAGCTGCTACTGTAAAAACCGTGCTGACCAGTACAGAAGAAGCTACAAGAGAGAGAAAAAACTAAATACATCACAGTGACAGCCGTGATACAGCAAAGTACGAGAAATGTATCTGTAACGGTCGGATCCAAAGGAAATCCCCCAAAAGCAATTCAAAAATCCACACCTCGTGCCACAAGAATGTCAAATCTCAGCATTTCCTAAAGTTGTCTGCATAAATCGCAAATCAGATCTTAAAATGAGACGACATGACAAAAAAAAGCAAAATTTTTTTTTGTCTAAATTCAGCAGGTCTGACACAAACGAGAGCCAAAACGACTACAGGAGTGAATTTTTTTGGGGGAAAAACATGAAACGCCTGTTGCTGTAGAGCTCCTGCCTCCTTTCTCCATGTGACTCTATGTCTGTCGGTCTATCTGGTCTCCTGGCACAATCTGCCTCACGTTCCTTCTTTGGGCCTTTGTCTTTGGCTGTATCACACCTCTCAGCTTGAGCTTGTGCCGCTTTGATTGCCTTTCCCTCCTCTGCCTCGTATGCTTCATGGTTTTGTAGGCTCAAGTCCCCAGGGCAGACAAACTGTGGAGCCCCTGCATGCCCCTCTGCCTGTGACACACACTCACACACACACACACACACACACACACACACACACACACGCGCACACACACGCAAAACATCAAAACAGCAGGAGAAGAGTGAGGAAATTCAGATAATTTTCTATTCATTTCCTTCCACAGCTGAAATCACTTAGATTGCAAAAGGCCTGGTGTACAAAGAGAAGCCGAAAAACAGAGGAGCAGAGGAAGAATGGAGAAAGTGTTGAACATGAGCACATAAGAGAAGGAGCGAAGGCAGAGAAAAAAAAGAAAAGAAAAAGGAGGCATGTTTTCATCTTACAGTGTCCGTTCCCAAGCTGGCTTTCATTTCAGACAAAAAAATTTCCCCTCCAGTCGGCAAGTCCACTATTCTGTTCCTGTCTCCCTCGCCCTCTGTGTCTGTGAAAGTGAGTCGGTATTACAGCGTGCATTTCATGGAGAAAAGGAGGGTGGGAACAAGGAGAAAGGAGGGAGCAAGGGAGTAAATGCACTGGTTCAGGAAGAGGTAAAGGAAATGTAACTGTACGCCTCCTGGTTGGTACTCCTATGTTTGATCAATGTTACTCCTTTAAAGTAGCAGAAAAGGATTGTGGAAAAAAAAAAAAGAAGAGATGAAAGACGAAAGCGAGAGGACTGGGGAGATGAGGGCATTACCGGAACAGGGTTCTTTAGAGGGACAGCACACAATGGACAGTGATCAGTAAAGGCAGAAAGAAGCCTGTGTGGTCCCATTCTGTCCCTCTGCTGGTTTTTATCTTCGTCTCGTAAAGCTCAGTCCGATAAAAATCGATTGTTCCGTTCCGTGTTTTTATTTTCTACATTTTTCCGAGCAGTTTAAAAAAAACTTTTTGTTCGGAAAGCTCCTCGTTTAGATCCAAATTTACATTAAGAACATGTGAGCAACTATTAATGTTCAGATAAAATACAAGGAGAGTGGAGTGTGTGTGCATGGGGGGACGAAGGAGAGAGCTCGACGGTGCCTCCTGCTGTACAGAGCGTCACACTACCCCTCGGAGAGCGAACCGTAGCACACAAAGAAGGATGCAAAAAAAACGAGAAAGAAATTCACAAAAAGCAAAACAAAATAAAGCACTTTGCTTGCACGAGGGCAAGATATACAAACTAGAGTAATTATGCACTGACTAAATAAACCCGGCAGATTAATGTTGTGTCTGCTGTAACTGTACACGCTCGCGCTCTGAGAAAAGCTACCCCGTACCCAGGGTCTCTTCTTCATTCTGGCTCAAAGAGCTCCCTAACCCCACTGCTGTCGAACCCGATGGCCTTGAGACAGAGAGCAAAGAGTTTAAGTGGAAACAGCCTCTCATCACCACGATGCTCCACGTACTTCACATCTGCACACAGCAGCATACCACAGCACCAGGAACAACCGGCCAAAGCCTCCGAGACCACGTTTGAAAACTTCTTTGAAAGGGGAAAAAATAAATAAATATGTTCATTCATAATTATGCTTATCGTATTATTTGTCTGGCTGCTTTTAATCATCCTTAGTGTCAGGCAATTTACAAATAAAATCCCTCTTTAAGCAGAATTTGATCAGAAGTTTATTCACAGAAACATGCTAATCGGAACCAGCTGAATTGTCTCCGAGCATGCACAGGAAATCAATCAGAGTACACCCCAAATTAAACAATAAATAAGTAAACCTCCAGTCGCTGTAGATGATTTTGGGGTCTGTGGGTTTCTTGGTCTGAAGCAGTGAAAGTTGTTTTTATCGCAGCAGCATGTTCACCGCATAGTTGCGCTGAGGAAATATATCGTTTTGGTTAAGTGAAATTGAACTTTGTTCATAATTGGCTGCCAAAACCGTTCTTCCCCTTGCGGGTGTATGGTGTTTCCCTCATTCAGTGGCATCTCTTTCATTACAGCGTCCCACAAACCTCAATGCAACGGTACTTTTCCCTTGACTCTCAAACATCTGAAGCATTGTCCTTGTGCTCTGTCAGGATTTTAATTAGCTCTTTCTGTCACAAATATCGTCACACGGGATGAGATGCGTGTCTTTTTTAGCTGGTCCAGATTTTTTTATTTTATTTTATTTTTTCGGTTACTGGGCTCTTTAAAAATGTGAAAACATTGAAAATGTAGCATTCTTTTTTTTTAATTTTTGAAATAACTGCAACCCCCCCTCCCCCCTGCAAATACATGAAAGTTGTTCATATTTAAATTCCTGGTCAGAGTAGAGTGTGTTGTGTTTCCTCAGGGAAAGCTAGGAGGCTGTACAGTTATCTCCTGTGGTGTCACTCTGAACTATACAACCTACTACCTCAGCCTGAGGAACACAGAAGGACGACGGCTCAGAAAGGGCGGAGTGAGCTGCTGGGAGGGGCGATCGTATTGTCCATTGTTATCGTGAAAAAAAAACAAAAAAAAAAAAACCATTATGAATATGATGTTATTCAAATGGACAGAAACTCACAGCTTGTTACTTTTACAGTCTCAACCATGTTTCGACTGCAAATCCAGCCAATTGTTGGTGTGTTTGTGTTTCAGATACGACCAAACATAATTGTTTAACAATAAAGTTGAATTATAAAATATAGTATTGCAGTAAACAACCCTTTTTTAATAATGTGTAAGTAGAGATGCACCGATCAGGCTTTTCCTGGCCGATATTAACTTTGGGGTTTTTACTAAGATTTCAACCCAAGACTCAGAGAGCGAAGGACTCTCCAAGTCCTGAGCCTAGAGATAAAATCCTACTAAATCTTAAACCAATTCAGATCTTTTTATTTTAACTCATTTAAAATATATTTCAACCAATTCACAATGCAGATGAACAATGACACTGACTTTATTTCGCAGGCATGTATGTTGAGGAAGACGAGATTTGTTTTTAAAAAAAATTGTTGATGAATTTCAACCGATTTCTTTCACCATTTCCGAATATATTCATAATACCGACTGCCTGCGATCATAACACACTTTCAGACACAGAGGTGAACGAAGGCAGAAGGGCTGCAGTTGCTCAGTGGGGGGGAATTTTTACCTTGAGACAATTTCCAAGTTGTTTTTCAGATTGGACGGGGATTTTCTGAAATATCTTTGATATATTTAAAAAAAATTCCCTTACCAATTCTGAAAATAACAATAAAAATAGTCAGACTGAGAATGAAGGAATGATAAGATTATCCCAATTTATGCTTCGGACTTCCCCAATCATTGTCTGATCATTATTAAACTAAAAACAGGATCTAAAGTGTATGTTTTGGGTGTATATAGTTATAGGAGTTGTTCATTTTAATGCATTTAATGGAGCATAAAAAGTTGCGCGATTTTTCAGGATTCGAACAGTTAATTTCTAAACTTGATCGGTGCATATCCACACTTCCTTTAAGAAAAGTATTTGTTTTTCTAAAGCTGCAGCCTAGATTTATATCCAAAGAGAAAACATTTTCACCATCACTGCACTGAGCAAAGCCAAACATGAAAAATGTTAAGCCCTCATCTCCAAACCCAGAGAGCAGGACGAGTCTGAACATTTCACCATGTTCACTGTGTTAGTGGACTGGGTCATGAATGGGTAACATAGTGAAAATGTCATCCACAATGTTACACCATAACCCAGTCTTCCAAACTGGGTGGGGTCACTGCACAAACACGTCACATGTGGGATAATTTTGGCTGAGAAAACCCCGTATCCAAGGATTCAGGTTTCGTGTTGTTTAATCATTGGAACACAAACAAAATCAGTTCCAGCCTTTATAACTATTGAGTAAAAAAAAAAAATTAAAAAAAAATCTGCTGCGGAGCTATTCCGTCACTTCTGTTGTTGATTTTTCTGACAGGCGAAAGGCGAGTGCAGAATTTGCCAGGAAGACACATACCTATAGATACGAGCTTGCGTAGCCAGTCAGCACAAGTTCGGATCTACGGGTTTGTGGCAACTAGCATTACCCATTTCAAGACAGGAAAGCCCACAAAAACATTCAGATGTGAAACTCACTCTATGCTCTCCAGGTAACTATAGTTATTCAAAGAAAAAGAGTAAGACAGGGGAAAAAACAAAACAAAATGTAAAAACGGAACAATTTTAATAGTAGAAACAATCATTTGTCTTTTTAAAAAAAAAAAAAAAATTAAAAACCTCTTAAAGGTAAGCAGAAAACCTATAGATCTCATATGTCCAACAGAGGCGAGCTTTGAAGTTGCAATAATGTTCTTGAACAGGCCAGAGCACATGACTGTGAGGGTAATGAGGTGTTTGTGTAGCCTACTTAACCCATTCGACTGAGGTCAGCATTCACGTCTAAAATATCACTCAACAATAAAAGAAAGCCTTAGAATCTTAACATGGCATTAAATATTAAATGAGTTGATGCAATAAATCTGAAATCAGCTGGATGTAAAGCTGAGTAAATAAAATGTGAAGCTGCACTATGAATAACCCTCCCATAAAAAGGTGGATATTACAAGATCATATTAGAGCTGTGAAGTATTGCTAAAGTAACCCAGCAGCATATTCAGTGTATGTGTATTACAAACAAAAACAATACAATCACAAAAAAATAAAATAAAACAAAAGCGGTTCTGTATAAATTCCCTCTTCGTAGTAATCTGATCAAATTTATGCCTTCATCTTTCCGTCTTTCTCTGGACGTTACCACCGGCCATACAACACAGTAAATAATTGTTAAGAAACAAAAATAGCGAACGATATTAAAATGCTCACACCCAGATAAAAATCATCAGACACACATCATATGATGCGTATTGGAGACCACTCTGACAGAGAGAAAACTAAAAGCAGTCTGAATTGCCAACATACCAGGGGACACAGGCTGGACCTGATGGTCAAATGTCCTCTAAAATCAGATGAAGTCAGGCTTGAGGAGCAGTGCAGGCCGGTGCTTTGGCGTAAATAACAAAAACCCTAAAAAAACAGACACATAAATCATCAGTATAAATGATCTGTGAACAGCAAAGCATGAGTAGCATTCAAAAATGCAACATTCATGCACACACGTTCCAAAAATCACGCACTTACAAACACGTGGTGGTCCATGCACACCCTTACAGTAAGACACAAACGGCCAAAAAAAAAAAAAAAACTACAGGCAGCAAAGCAACGATTCAGAGAAAGTAACGAGGCTAAAAAAAAAAAAAAAAAAAATCTAAATAACACCCGAAAGTGAACTGATAATGTCCCCTCGTTCACTCCCAGTTACGCCCTCATAACCCGCTGTCCGGTCCCTATTTTCCAGGGTACAAAACCTCAAATCGCCTTTGAAAAAAAATGGTACGGCAAGAGAGAAATGGCAAAAGGTTGAATGCGGTGAGATGTGGATGAGGAGGAGGCGCAGCGCAGGGCTGGCTACAGAGAAAGTGGAATTTGTGACCAAGCAAAGGAAAGGGTGGTGTTTTCTTTTTTTCTTCCTTTCTTTTTTTTTTTTTTGATGCTTCATTCTGCTTGGCTTTTTTGGATCCCAGCAGGATCCTTGGCTTCAGCTCTGTCTTTTCTTAGTGCTGCCAAAGTCTGGACATATTCCTTTGTCTTAAATTCTGTTACACAAAATTAGTCAGAGAGATGGGCAAAAGATATAACTGAACAGAGACGAGAGCCAAATGATCTGTCAACAAAAGTGGAGCGAAAGTTGTTAAAGAAAACTCTAAAGAGGAGAGGAGCTCCGTAAATAAAGAAAAAAAAAGTCACGATGGATACAGGTTTTTGGTTGCCTCTCAATATATTTCTTTTTTTGTCCTGCAAACAGATTATTTCCAAAGTGCAACAGCTGAAACGTCTCCAATGCTATGCCACGTAATGAGAGAGGGAGAGAGAAAGCAGCCACTTTTTCCCTTTCCAAAATG